TGATGAACGAGCATATAAGTGTGTGTAATACCACATCAATTAAGCTACGGTAATGTTGGGTATAGGGCGTCCATCCGCCCGGACGGTGCCGATGGTGGGCTGCAACGCAGTGTAACGACTGCTCATCCACTCGCCCTCGCCACCCAACTGTTCTAAAAAAATAAAAAAAACACCTCACCGCAGGGCCACGACAGCTCACCGCGACCGCGCTCTCCACTGCGCTCCACCATGTCGCCTCGCGACCATGCTCTCCACCATGCTTCCCTCTCCACCGTGCCTCCCTCTCCATCGCGCCTCCGCTCCGCCGGCCGGCATCTCCGCCTCCACGCCAGAGCACAACAGCCTGTCTTCCTCCTTCTCCACCGCGCCTCCCGCCCGCTGCGACCTCTAACGCGTGGATCCACCGCAGCCTTCTCCACAGGACCTGGGGCGGTCTTCTCCACCGGAGTAGCGGTCCATGCCACCGGTGAGCTCTACATTGGTGAACTCCACGTGTCGACGAGCCTCCATTCCCAAGTAACAAGGAGATGTGCGCTGAAAGCGCATGTTTCAACGTATGTTTTAGATGTTTCAAAGATATGTTTCAAGTGTTTCATATGGATGTTGCAAAAGTAGATTGTGACGTTGCATATACTGCTAGTGTTTTAGAGGTATATTGCAAGCGTTTGTTCAAAGTGTTTCATCTGTTTTAGACGTATGTTGCAAGTGTTTTTATGTTGCATATGTTTCACACATATGTTGCAAAAGTATGTTTCAAATATTTCAACTATTTTATTCTTATGTTGCAGTAAGTATTTTCATGTTGCAAGTGTTTTATCTAGATGTTGCATATGTTTCACATATATGTTTCCAAGTATATGTTCCAAATATTTTATCTGCTTCAGACTTATGTTGCGTTCAAGTGTTTCATGTTTCGGAGGTATGTTCGGAGAGTCATGGGGGCACGGCTCGGGCGCTGGGGGAAGGGGCGCGGCAAGCCGGGGGCCGGCAGATAGGGCGCATGGCACGCCTGGAGTCCTGAGGATGGGGCGTGCTCATCCTCATCCGGGCTCCCAAGTCCCGCCGCAGAGAGAGAGAGAGGAGGGGGTCATGGGGAAGGAGTGGCTAGTGCAGCGGGGGTGTGCATGTGGGGCGGGGCGAGGCGGATAGGGGGGGGACAAACGTGCGCGTGCAGCAGCGATACGGCGCAGCGGCAAGCGCGGGAGGGCGGACAGGGGCAGCAGCATGCGTGAGATGTCCGGACGCGCTCATCTGCTCCGGAGGTCCGGGCGCTAGTAAGCCCCAACAATATGCTCTCTTCATTTCTATAGTTATGACATGCACCAGCGAGTAGCCGAGTACCATGAACTACCCAACACTACTACAAAAACCACCATATGTAAAGGTGTCTCATTTTTTAAATAGAGATAGCTCAATATAAAACCGTCTCTATAAATGGTTTCTGAAACAAACATGTAGAAATAGATTTTTAGAGGCGGTTGGATCTAGAGCCGTCTTTAGAAATCAATTTGTAGAGACGACTAGATTTAGAGCCATATCTGAAAATAGGTGTAGCACAGTAAAATTCATAATTTTTCAAACGAAGTAGGATGAAGATAAATTTTACATCAAAGTTGTATATCTCAGTAGAATCACCATAATCACGCCAAACGCCACAAAAAGAGAAAGATTTCAGGAAGAATTACTTGGAACCGATTCTCGTTTTTGTACCTATCTAGAGAAACACCTAAAAATTGGTTTCTTCTGTTTGTAGCTCTTATTTCAAGGTAAGCTAGTCAAACAATTCCACAAAGTTATTCTGATTTATCAGAGAAACATTTTTGAGAGAGAATCTGGAATCCTACCAAGCACAACCTCAGTTGAGAACGACATCCGAGGGAAGACAAACCTGCATGGTATGATGTAGTGTGGATAAAAACGACCCAATGACCCTGGACGACACAAGGCTGCTAGAGGGCGACGAGTGGAGACACAGCATTTAGAGGAATTCGAATCGGCTAGGGCGAGGATGAGCTGAGTCCTCGCTTATGGACCGGATTCTCTCTTTGAAACGTTTGGCCATTGCCTAGCATCCAAACCCTAGCGGGGTGCTTGGCACCGTGGTGATTTGAACTCATCTTGTCCATTGAAGGCTGATCAAGTTGATCACCTGAGCCCTACTCCTTTCCGAGTTCTCAGTGCGTAAGTTGGTGGCTACTGTAAAATGAAGGCGTGCTATAATATAAATGCCGTCATCAACTGAGAATTGAAACCCGAAACAACGGCCTCTTGAAAATGAATAAAAAAAAGAAGTATATATCTTTTGGATCGGAGAGAGAGAGAGAGAGACGGGGCAGATCCACCGTTCCAAGCTTTAGTACAAAAGAAGAGTGAGACGTGTGGCGACACTGATCTGCATTGCGTGCTTATTAGCGAATCAAAAGTGGGAGATCAGCCTGTTGCCATCAAATCCTCATCGTCGGATATCAGTCAGCTCAACGTGATTCTTCCTTTGTTCTCCCCCTCCCTCTCTGTCGTCGTTCGAGACTGGACAGAATCGATTTGCTTCGTCGTCTCCAGCAAATAAAGCTTCTTTAATTTGTTTGGCATTAGTGTTACTAGTTGTGTGGACGGATAATAATGGCGGGATGAGTAGTAAGCTGTCACACAGTGTCACTTGGAGCCAAAGGTAAAATGATGTGCTCCCACTTTTTTTTTGTGGACGGGGAGGAAATGCGGGAAACAATGGTTGGCCGTTGGCCGATGCGGATGCGATGATGACATCAGGCTCTGCTAGTCGCGTGCATCACTTTTTTCCCGGTACACGGGAAGACGGGCAGTTTTCAGCTTTACTGTGCCGTAGCGTTCCTGTGTTTAGTTCGTCTTCTTCTGAAGGAGTCGGTGTTAAGTTCTTGCTCCATCCTCTTGTGTGTGTCGTTGTCTCAGGGCTCGTTCGTTTGGCAGTGAATTCATTGTCTAGAATGAATCCTACCTGGATTGCTTTGCAAAATTATATAAGCATTGATCAATTGGAATAATTTTGGTGCAATCCAGCATAATCGAACGGTCCTTAAGGGCTCGTTCGTTTGGCAGGGAATCATTGGCTGGAATGAATCCTACCTGGATTGCTTTGCAAAATTATATAAACATTGATCAATTGAAATAATTCCTGGTGCAATCCAGCAAAACCGAACGGGTCGTAAAGGAGAATGGTGCATCGACTCTCATGGCGGGGGAAGAAGCAAAGACACAAGCCCAAGACATAGAGAACATGCACGTACCGAGCGCTTAGCTTGCTGTTGCTGCCTTGCATGCTCTGTTGGTTGGTACAACTAGGTGCCGTCAAGTACCACATCTGTGCTCCAAGCTCGAACCAGTGGCGTTGTTTCAAGGGAATTCAACAGGGAGCCAATTACTGCTAATTTTAAAGGGATCTATCTAGCCATCAACTAATTATTTTAGCCCCTCCATCAACTGAATTTTATTCATGCACTTACACCATCTTCTAGCTATATTTACATCGCCTTACTACTATATTTACAATGATTTATTCAGTGTAATTTACTGGACAGAGTGATGTAATTTGGGGATAACACAATATCTTAAACAAATATATGCCAAATTTTCAAAAGAAATTATAAATTTTTTCTATGAATTCCAGATACCAAAGAAATATATAAAATTGTTCACAAATATCATTAAATTGTTCACAAACTTACAAATTTACAAATGGAATAACAGAAAGAGAGAACAGAACTGGTAGGTCAAACCCCATTGCCCATGCAGTGCAATTACGTATAAAGACGACGATGAGTCACGCCTGCATTACGGCAACTGACATAGTAGCCCCCACACCTAGCTAGGGCCGGCCGGCCGCCCGGCTCCCGGCTAGCATTAAGCACAGGCGCACCGATGCAGTGCACGTTACGTACAAGGAAAAATCGGTTGACGAGAAGGCCTAAATCAATCGGTTGACAGGTAGCCTTTCTGTTTTAAAGTGAAGTTTCTTTTATCGAAGTATTGGAAAGCTTGCGCCTTCGACTAGCTCTCGCTGACGTGGCCAAGTTTTTGATCAGGTAATTCCGTGGGCATATACGCCATGTTCGCTTGGCTTATAATCCGTACTTTTTCAACGAGCGAACAATATTTTTCTCTCGCAATAAATCAGCCAACGATACTTTCAGCCATAGTTTATCAGCCAAGCGAACAGTACGATAGCTAAGGTGACTTTTTCATGTACAAGTGAGTCCCACCAAAACCTCTCTCGAACTGCTATCTGCAATATTCACTTGGTAGAGCTTCAGTCAAAATATCGAGGGCCTCTTCTTCCTCTTACACCACCAGCGGTCACTCCACAAACGTGGTTGGAGAGATCTCGCAAGACTTAAGCCTCAAAATATACAAGTTTGGCGCGTGCAAACACCAGTAACAAAGAGGTGAACAAACTTCACCAATAAACTCTAGGTTAACACCAAAAAGCAACACCAGTGCTAGAACTCCAGGGTTGTGTGTCTTCTCCGCACGCCTCTATTAGGAAACTTTGGTGGCCACATTGGAAGTATGCCTTCAAGGCTTTGTTTTGATTGTCTCGGACTTCAGTTGCCATCTCCCATAACTCACGCCGCCCTCCTCAATTAATTCCCTCCTTTCTCTTGTCTCTGGTGGCATTTAGTGGACCTCGGATTGGCTGGCCCGTTAATCGTGTCGTGCTTTCACGCCAGCACGGCCCATAGCACCGTGCCTGGACCCTGGGCCATTGCTCAAGCCCATGACCCTATCAGGCATAGCCCACGGCACGGCGTGCCGTGCCCAGCCCGACCTTAGCAGGCCGTGCCATGTCGGACCGAGCGGTCTGTTTAGCCACTAAACACTCAAGCTTTGCTAAAAAAAACCTAAACACTCAAGCAAAATTTAGCTTTACTATTATAAAAAAAATACAGTAGCTTTATTGCAAATTTATCTAAACTTGTTCTTACCCAAAATGTCCCCATCCACCCGCACCCGTGCCGAAGTCATTGGACATGGGCCACATCTCCTACGACGCCGCCGCCGCCTCCGTTCTTCCTCGCCCGCTGCATCACGGCCTCACAGGACCCCTCACCGGTCACCGCGGCCGTCTCCCGGATGCTGTGGGGGCACACGCTGCTCCTCGCATAGCTCATCCTTGCCATGCTGCTGGACCGCGGCATAGCAGAGCTCCTAATGCGGCAGGCGGCGATGTCCGATCCCGCGACGGGCGCCTTCTGTGCCCCTTCCTGCTTCTTCGGCATAGCAGCTCCTTCACGCCCGACAGCCCTGACCGGCTCTACGGCGACTGGAAGCCCCGGGACTCCGGGAGGTGTACGCGCTGCGGAGCGGCGGGTTTGAGGACAGGGCCTCGATGCCAATGCTGTGGGACGCCGAATGCCGCGAAGTGGTCTGCAACTGCAACGAGAGCATCGAGATCCTCAAGTTGCTCTGCCCCAGCGCAGGTATATCAGAAACTTGATCCCTTGTAGCATTGTTTTGACTAAATCATCAGTTACAACTTACAACAACTGGATTCTCTGACTGTCAAAAAACAACAACTGAATTCTCTGATACTATGCGCCAATGGCTTCCAAAATTATCAACTGCGGCAACTGTGTTCTCGGATCAAACTATCAATTGCAGGTTGGGGGCAAACAATCATATGGATAACAGTTTACAGCTTGCTATCCAAAAAACCAATCACGTGCATAATAGTGTACATTGCAAACCAGACACCAGCAAATTGCATAGCCTTGTTCAGATTAACGGTATGCTACATAAACATAACCCCTAATGCAATGCAGTTGTAATGCAAGCAATCAATTGGACTCTATGCAGACTATATATGATGCATAAAGATGAGCATGTTGATTTCCAAGCTGGATACACAGCTAAATCCAAGGTTTCATCTAAAACACACCGATTACACATGAAGATGCGATGCAAATGTGGAATATGAATGTGATGGATAACTATATAACTTAATTGGTAGATAAAGTCTATCGTAAGAGGATAAATATATGGAAATATCTATATGAATATTTTATTAGAGCACAAACACAAAAGAAAGTATTACCTGAATACAAAGTTAAACACACATGTAAATGCGATACGAATGGGTAAAAATGTGAACTAGGATAAAAAAAAAGTAGATAAATAATTGTAAGTAAAGCCTATCACAACATTGCAAGGAAACAAGAAAGTACTTATCAGTATTGTGTTAGAATGTAGTCACATGAGAGGGAGTTTTAACTACTATGCCTAACACACATGAAAGTGCAAAATGAACAACTATTAATTGGGATGGAAAAGTATTGGATAATTGGTATGTCTATCACAATTTGATACATAGAAAGTATCTATCTGAGTATTGGGTTAGAATACGAGCACATTAGAGAAAGCAACAAAGGTAAGGAATCTTAATTAGTCGCTGGTCCAAATTTATACATAATTTTTTAATACTTATTATCTCTTAAAGTTGCTAAGTGTGCAGTTTTTCAAAAAGCGTTAGGCGCTAGGCAGGTGGATGGACTCTGGTGCGCCTAGAGGTACCTAGGTGATACCTAGATCTTGCTAGGTGTTTGTACTTTCTGTGGCCGCTGAGAATAATGTCATGTTAGATAAAAGAAATTTCACCATAATAAGAGAAATTTTACAATGGTTGGAAAAAACATGGGCCATCCATTGGGCAAGATCAGATGGTAGAAAAATAGGAGGTACCCAACTGAAAATACCTGGAGGTACTAAATAGGTAGGGATAATACTAAATTAGGTGGACCTAGTACCAAAATACGTGGGGCAAGATCTGTTTTTTATTTTTGTATTTTATTTTCAAATAAGGGTAAATCAGTCATTCTAGGTTACGACCGCCATTCATCTCGTATGTTTGCACCTACGCCGCCTGGCTCCTCCGCGCTTTGCACACGTTGCCGATCCTCTTGTTCCAGGTGACTATAGGTGAGCACACATCATTGTTTAGGATTCTTAGGAGAAAAATTGGTTATACGTTTGCATTTTTTTTCTGCAGTCTTTTGGGATTTACCATAACCAATCAACATCATTGTGTAGGCATTTGATGAAAAGGCATTTGTTAATCCAAAGAATTGGTTCAGGAGCATGGATGCAACGTTATGTTCAACTCAACATTGGGAGCATGGATGCGAACGTCCTGATTGTGTGAGAGAAAAAATACCAACATGTTGATCAACTCGACATTGACTTGATGGAAACCAGCCGTGAGGCCATGATGACGTGAGGCCATGGACAGAAAGATCGCTCAAGAGCGAGAGGAGGAAGACCGGACCCTGTGGCAGGAACATGATGATATGGCCCTAACACAGGATGCCCGAGCTCTGCTTTGCGGGGTCGATGAAGAAGTGCAACTGAGCAGCGGCGGGCTGCAGCGGCGTCTAGGACCTAGTGGCGCCGGCGTCTGGGTCCGCAGCACCCTATCGAGACTTCAGGGCAGCAGGCCAGCAGGGCGTATCGGCCGAGCCGAACATGCCGCAGAGGGACTGAGAGGGTTACGTCTAGTTTTAGAAGATCACAACCTCAATTACTAAAATATCCTCTATAATATATTTCTCAATTAATTAATTAGAAAATAGAAAAAGATGAAAGTACATAGAGGTACCAAGGTACTTTTCCAACCATTGTAAAAGAGCTCTAAGAATAAATGATATTATCATGCATTCACGAGTAATATATATGATCATAGTTCATCTTTATCCTTGTCTAATTTGCCCAACTTTTATACATATATCGAGCTCAAAACATCTCTATGTAAAATTACCCTAACAAAACATCTAGGTGCTAGGCGTGGCAGTGCAGCTTCATGCCTCTGCCTAAACAGAGCTCGTGCGGTAGCACAGATTAGTCATTACAACAAGGGTACACATTATACTGATGAAACCATTGACCTCTTGGCGAAGCATGAAGTCTCACCTGATACTATGAGTATGAAAGAGAATAATGTAGATAGTAGTGCCATATCCATATATGACCAGTTCTTAATTTCTGGAGATGTACATTAAGATATGCATTAAAATGAAAATAACCAGCCGAGACAATAGTAACCAGGGACTCAGATGGCACATAGGAAGAAGTTGATCCCTCCACATTGGTTTTGTTTGATGCAAAACTAGGGACAAAAGTGCCGTCAGGTGTGGTCTCCATGCTCATCACTCCTTCCAACTGTTGAATCTAATCTTAGCATAAAACATGTAGCACATGTACACAGGATCTTATATGTAGTCTAACACATGACCACAACTCATGTATTGCGGGAAAACTTAAGTAGATAGTGCCAGACCAGTGTTGGCAGTCGCCATCAGCGCCTCCGGTAGTGATGCTGTAGTCTTATCAAATGGATGCTCTCATCGGGCTGTGATTCGTCCAAATTTTCTCGGCCACAAATTATTTCGATCATCACAATCCCGAAGCTGTAAATGTCAGCCTTCTCTGTGATTTTTTAGCCCAGCCACTCGGGTGCTAGGTATCCACGTGTTCCTCGCATTCGAGTCATGACTTTGCTCTGGTCCCTGTTTATCATTTTCGAAAGTCCAAAGTCTGAGACCTTTGCATTGAATCTGTCATCCAAAAGAATGTTCTGTGGCTTGATGTCCAAATGGGCAATCTTCTCCTCACATTCCTCATGGAGATAAGACAAACCCCTAGCAATAGCCAAAATGATATGGCGTCTAGTTTTCCAAGAAAGAGTGAAGACTGGACTTTGTTGAAAGATCCATTTGTCCAGAGAGCCATTGGATAAGTACTCATACACAAGAAGCCTATGTGATTTTTCAGCACAGAAGCCCACCAACCTTACGAGATTGAAGTGATGGATTCGACCAATTGTTTCGACCTCTGCTAAGAACTCTTCCATTCCTTGCTCGACACCCTCCAAGCGTTTGACAGCGATAGTTTCCTTTCCTATCTTACCTTTGAATACAGACCCAAAGCCACCAGCGCCAAGCTTTATAGAGAAGTGGCTACTGGCTAGTAGCAACTTTTAACTCATCAAAGGAGAAACGTTTTGGTATCCCGGGTATGCCATCAAAGAGTGGTTCCTCGTCTTTCTTGCAGTTTTTCCATACCACTGCACAAACTAAGATAGATATTTGACAAAATCCTGCAATTGAGCCCACAACAATACTGATCCTCCTTTTATCTGACCGATTGCCTTCTATCTTGAGAAATGCTGAAAAATGATTTGATGAATCCTCTGCAAACAAAATTAACATTTGCTCTGATAACAGCAAGCAGTAACTACTATCACTGAGATTGTTGATTTTTGGAAGGAAATCACTGAAATTGCTGTTAGTTCGGAAAAGAACTGCTGTTCAAGAGCAATCAACTAAGCAAGATTGTTTGCACACATCTTCAGAAGTTGAAGTGGCAAATGACAAGAACATGCTGTTACTGAAGTACGAAACATTGTTGAGTAGTATTAGCTTGTTGCCTTGCACATGGTCGCATGAGGGGCTTCTTAAGGGTATGCATCCAGCACTTGGCAGCCGTTCATTTTGGAACCTAAAATCATTCAAATTTGGACAGGAACATTGTCCCTTGCTGCAAACACTATAATCCCCGCATGCCATTGGATAATCACAAAACTTCATTTTTTTGCTTAATACATCAAGTAGCATTTAGAGGGTCTTGGACGATTCCTTGCATTTCGTAGAGCCTTAAATGCTCATCAGACTCCAACCTCATGAATTGTAATGATCTTGAAGAGGGTAGGAAGAATATATTATCTGGAAACCCAAAGCTACCATTGGCAAATGCATAACAAGTTGATTGTGTAGTACCAGATTCAAACAACTTTGTAAAGGCTGCTGGTTTGAAAGAGTACTGCAGCCCATTCCACTCTGCAGAAAAATAAATCCTGGCAGATGACTATTTTGTGTTTGAGGTTCTGATACTGAGGTTCATTCCCATGCAAAGTGACTGCCCGATTACCAAGGTATCAGTTGGGTGGTCAAACGACTGCCAGACAGAGGTGTTAACCTGATCGAAGAGCACTAGGTTCCCGTACACGTCGAGGACCATACCTGCAACTGACTTGCTGTTTGTGGCGGTGGACCACACCGTGGTACCATCGTCATTCTGAAGGAGCAAGCTCCCTTCTCTGGTGAAGTTTAAGATGGCGCCACTGTTTACAGCATCGTCAGGGTTGGCAGACCAGATCACTGGAGCTTGGGGTCCATCAATCACAATAGAGAGAATGAACGATTTACCATCTATGCTGTAGAAGCCATCTTGATATGTTCAAGAACAGGAAGGATAGAAGATCCGTTGTCCATGGCTATTTCGCCTGTCATATTTGAAACTTTCCAAGAGATTGGGGAAGACACAGTAGAGAGCCCGGCAACAGCGTTGAGGTGGAAAAGGAAGCCAAGCAATAAAAGAATGGCTATCGACGTGTGAAGATGATGCATGGTGACCTTTTTATACTGAGCGGTTACGATGAAGATGAAGGAAGAGGAACCTTTGCTGTCTGCTGGAGAGATGATTTCTGGATGGCGCTTCTTAAGAGGAACCTTTTGAGATATGATGGACTAGCAGCACCATTTTGTCCCAGCCTTGACCTTTTCTGTCTGAGTTATTTGCATAGAATCACAGTCCGGGCACCAAAGTAATCCCTACCATATAGGATAACTGAACAGCCGAATTTGGAAAGATATAAGAAGCATGCAAGGGGAAGAAATTAGGGGAAAGCCATGAAACAACATCGGTAGAAGGATATGCGTGTACCATGTTGAAGATCAATACTTCTCTCCTAATTGAAGTCCTCAAAGAAATATTGATGCTTTTTGAGAAATGACCAGAAGGGTAGAGTAGTTGCTTGGTGATCTAAGAAGCAGTCTAATAGTTCGTTATGTGCACACGCTTTTATTTGGACGAAGAGCAGTTTATAGGAGAAACTGAAGAAAATCCCAGAGACCAGAGCTATATATCGGGTTCATGGGCATCGTTTTCTTTGTTGGCGTGTTTTCAATTCCAATAGCAATAAACTGCATCTGATCAATTATTGCTTTTGGATATGTGGCTTCCGGCCGGCCCTTTGTTTGAAAGTCCAATCTGTTGACTCCTTAGTCTTCGACTACTTTTCAGGACTCCTTTGACACGGCCGATGAACTTTCTACTCGGCGATGCGGCATTGTTCACATGTTATGCTAGACGTATCTCCACCTCAGCCTCAGCCTCAAGGACCAACGGGACACAATGTTGCCGATGCAAAAGATGCCGTGCTAGTCAAGGAACAGTGGACAGGCGATGCTGCTGCCATGCCGGACACTGACTGGCGGTGAGCAGATGCAGTTGTGATTTTTTTTTTAATAAGGGATGCAATTCTGATTTGTGAAACGTTCGCGCAGGCCAAGGTTTGCCCGCCCCTCCTCAGATCCTAGCCGGCGTCTCGTGTGTGGGTTCTATTCTATCAGATTAACAATTAGAAAGTTGGTCTTTAAACTACTAATAATTACTAGTACATCATTTTGTTTAGGTCTCAAACTATGAAAGTGAACTATCTAGATCTCTAAACCTTATATATAATTAAGTTTCTTAATCTTAATCCTGGTCCATGACAAATCGACATGCAGCTCATAATTACAGTACGTAGGTGATCCGTAAAATTCCCACCTAGTCCGATTTAGGTCTCTAATAATATATTTAAGTATGCTACCCGGCACAAAAAAATTATCTGAATTTACAAAGAAGAATCAGGTCAATCAAAATTTGAATGGATGAGATACAATTTTGGGAAGGTTCGTTGGAAAAAATAAATTGGATAAATCACCACTACACAGTTCTTTTGCAGGCGATCAAAAGAGATTTTCCTCGTTCAAATGGTTTGCGTTAATCGCTATTTTCGCAGGCCAAATAGAGAGGGAGAGGGGGCGGCTTGCAGCCCAGTAGACCAACGAAGGCAAGGTGAGAAGATTCGGCCCAATGGCTAGGATGAGTTAAAAAAAAATTAACTTTTAGGGAGTTCAAAATTAGTCAAACTATATACAATCTTAATCTACAAATTCTAGAAAATTTACTAAAAATATATTGATGCCCGAGAAACTTGGATGTGAGATTTAGGGACTTATTTATAAACATTTTGGGTTTTGGAATTTTTTATTACATGCTCATAGAAGCTTGTATGCATCAACACGAGAAGGGCAAAAAAAGGTCTTTATACCATTTATATAAATAATGACTTGATTTTTCTATTTTCTTGTTTTGTGTCGTTACATTGAAACTATAGAATAACATTTTATCAAATAAAATTCATTTCTTTAACCAAATTTTGAACAAAATTGTTAAATACTTGAGAAAAATACAATATTTTATTTATATCATCTATTCACATAAAAATTAAATATTTTGAGATGTGACACATGAATACATAAAATATAGTGAGAAAATGATAAAAAATGATAATCTATTACTCTAGTTGTGTTAGAGCACGTATCGAGATAGAAATAATGAAAATACATTAGGACACATGTCACAATACCGAAGTACTCCCTTCGACCATAAAAGACTACAAATTATGGGATCCGTGCCAGTCAAACTAGCTCAACTTTGACATAATTTATATTAAATAATGTTAGCATTCATATATCCAAATAAATTTATTATGAAAATGTATTCTATAACTAATCTAATGGTATGTATTTTTGTATTGTGAATGTTAGTACTTTTTTACATAAATTTAGCCAAGTTTAAACTCTTTGACTCCTTGAAAAGCAGAACTACATTCTTTTGTGGACCGAGGAGTGTATATTTTGGATGATACAATTATGATGGATAAATACGTAAAAGTCATGATAAATATCACAATGAAGTAGGTTATGATGATTTTGGGTTGACATCATTGGTGCATGATATATTTTCGTCATTAACCTAAACTAGTTCCTACAAAATTTGTCAAACCAAATGATTTAATAATAAATAGCTCTGTTGTATATTCACTGTAGAAGGTTACATTTATTGTAGTGGAACCTTCTGGTGTAGATATATAGGTGTAAACTGGTGGTGTGGCTCCTCTTTACAGTACTGGATAAGCCAAAGCAGAAGGAACCACAAATCGTGGCTTCTAGCGGCTCCACATTCATGTTGTTTGGAAAGAAAGACTGTGGAGCAGAGCTCCTCAATGTAATCAATCCTAGCTTGAAATTCACTTTCATAGAGAGTCGAACTCAGAACCTGAGTGATGCTACTAGAGCCATCTAACCAACTCAATTAGAGGCCCGTTCGCTCCACGTTCATGTTGTTGGGAGAGAAACAAAAGGCTTCTATGAACAGTGCTGCTATAATTATTGGTGTAGAGGAGCCGGAGCCGCAAGAAGTTGTGTCAAACATGCTTTTGTTATAAAGTCGGGCTCTAGAATGGTGTTTTGATATTTGTGTATTTCTATAAGCTTGGTTTAAAGTGAAGTGGTTTTTGATGCCAGTGCATTTTTAGCTTGGTTAGAGGAAATTTGTTTGACTTAGTACAAAAATTTAAGTGACTTATAATTTGCAATGAACAGAGCAACAGATAAAAAAAAAATCACAAAATGGACGCTTTACATGACCAACCTAACCACGTTCCTCTCCGGCAGCATGCACACGGCAGGCAGTCAACGCCGGTATGGGTAAGACGGCAGTAGCTGGGACGCAAGTAACACCAGCATTTCCACCACCTCCTCCTACCTTGGCAGGTGCACGGCCTGTTTCACTTGTTCCCAAGCTTTCACCATTTGGATCCAACCATCAAGTATAAAATCGCTTATAAAGCTCCATCATTTGGTCAGTGCTCCGCTCCACCACTGCGATTTACACCAAACATGCCTCGCGCCTTCGCCGCAATCGCCATCGCGACGGCGTTCCACCTCCTCGCCGTGCTCCACGGCGCCTCCGCAGCGCGGCCGATGGGGTGGCAGGCCGCGGCATCGTCCGGGACGGCGACGTCGGCGCTAGCGCTGGCGCCGGCTGGGCACCAAAATCATCAGCGGCGCGCGGCGGCGGCGGCGGCCGCCAGGGCCGGGAAGTGGCTGCCGTTCGCGGGCGTGCACCACCACCTACCGGCGGCGGCGGCGTACTGGGCGCACAGGCCGGTGCCGTGGGTCGGGGCCGGCGGCCTGGCGGGCGGCGCAGGCGCCGTGGAGGGCAGCGAGGGGGAGGAGGTCATGCGGGAGCGGGAGCGGGAGCGGCGCCAGCAGCGGCCGTCGTACGAGGGTGACGGGTCGACGACGACCACCAGGCAGGAGCAGCTCGCAATGTGGGCGTCGCTGCTCAACCCCAAGGGGAAAGGGAGGGCGGCCACGGGATGGATGCCGGCGCCGGGAGCTGGCGAGGTGGTCGATGAGGAGCCGGCCAAGGCGGCGGACGCGGTTGAAGGGGCGGAGGTGGACGACACGGCGGCCGACGGCGCGCGGGTCGGCCAGACCTATTGGGGAAACAATGGCAACTGATGTAGAAAAAGACACTGGTGGGCGATGCAGAATTAAACAGATTTTCAGTTATAAGAAAAAAAAAAATACAGTATATGTTTTGCAACAGTACTTTACAAAAATGTTACATATAGCAAATGCAGAATTCTTACCCCATTCTAGAGTCTCTATACTTGAATAGATAGTTTGTGATACTGTAAGGCCTTGTTTTGATGCGCATGTATTCATCTCAATCAACGTACGTTGGAGTCACTTCAACACATGTGGATTAAGGTGAATACACATGTATCAAATAAGGTCTAAAAGATAAATACTTCCATTCGATTGTAGCCGTGATTACGGCCAACAGGCCTGGTTATAAAAGCACTACTATAATATCCAAATTTATCTCAAAAAAGGAGAGGATACTATTATACAAAAATAAAATATTACATTTTGGTGAGCAGGTTATCTGCTCAGGGCTTCTTTGGAATGCAAGATTGAGAAAACGTAGGAACATGATAAATATAGGAATAGAATATGATTGTAGATGAGAAACGTAGGATTAAAAACCATAGTAAACTTTGAGCGGTAGTTGTTTGGATGGACACATGAAGTTCCTAGGAAAGGAAAACTTAGGAAACTTAAATCACCTACTCCTATCATATTAGCCACCTATATATTTGTTTGGTAATGTCATCATTAGAAAGAAATGCAAAAGTAGTTAAAAAGAAGCCACTTACAAGTGGGCCACTAGAGAATCACTGTACTTCATGACCATAGCCTGAGCTAGCCGTGCGATGCCACTATACAAGCTCGATCTTATCCCCTTCCCCGTCATTTTCATCCTCTCGTTTCACTAAAGCCATGTCTCTCAGCGTCCATGGCTAGCAGCAGGCACAACGTGCACGCGATCGCCCGAGGCTGCAACCTCCAGCGAATAACCCTGTTCACTTGATCGTATCAGCCATACTTATCAGTCATGATACAATGTTTTTCTCTCACAATAAAACAGCATCAGCTGGCTTATAAGCCACGAAACGATCAAGCGAACCCGGTGGTGCCGCAAGTTGACGGACGCGGCATGAAGCGCTTGAGCTACCGTGTGGCAAGCAGCTCGAGCGGCAAGCACGGTGCGGCATCCCTGGCCCCCGGATGATGAGG